CGCAAAAAAGAGACAATTTCTCTGCCCTCAAACATTTAGCAAGGTATTTGTATTGTACAAATGATAAGCTAATCATACAGCCAAACAGATGACTTTATTGGAAAATAGGCCAAGCTATCAGTTCCATCTATGCCACAGGAGTGCTGTGAAATTTAAGCCTTAAGTGAACTTTTCCCCCAGACTTTATGTAAGTTTCACAGGCAGTGAACAGATAGGAACACAAGTTCAGTACACAATGCTGCCCAAAACCCCCATCCACAGATTACGCTGTCTGTTAGTGGAACAATTTTAACTGCTGCAGAGTAAGAATTCAGGCACCACTGTAAAACATGCAGGGTTGGGGTTCTTGGTTGTTTGGTTGATTGGTTTTTTAGGTTTTTTCATTTAAAATCAAGACTGAATTCAATGTCTTGTGTTTCAACTGTGACCCCGTCTCTGCACTAGACAGCAGAACCAGGATGAACACAGGATGAACTCCTCCTTGCCCTGAGAAAGCTTCAACAGCACTGCAAATAGAGAAATATCACCAAAAAGAGACTGTAATGGCATGGAGAACAGAACAGGGAAAACATTGTCCATGAGCTGTAGTGGTCAGAACAGCAAGGACTCCTTGGTTCTGGATTATCTTTTCTCTAAAGGAAAATGAGGATGACAGATGGAGTGACTCCACCAAAATATAAAAGGAACCTGAAAAGCAATTTAAAAAAAAATAATCAGCAACTCTAGGAATGTTACTGCAAATTTTCTTGCATAGTCAGAACTGGAGCTGTGAACAGACCGCTAAGTTAACAGAAACATGAAGGCTTTTACATTTGGCTATTTCATTTTGGAGGAAAACAATTTCTTCAGGATAGGAATTCCTCTATTCAATTTTTTCAAGTGGGATTGAAAGAAATTAAAAAGCCAAACAACCAAACAAAAAAACCACTACCAAACTAGCACTATCCCAGATACTGTCTTTTGACCTTACTTGCATGCCTCTTTACAAAAGGTAAAGGATACTAAAAGCCTAACTTCACCTCCAGCACAAGATCACAGATACAATTACAAGCCTTTCACATTTCACACCTATTTGGCATCTATTACACATAGATATTTAAAAGTGAAACTCTTTGAAAACAAGCTCAATTCCAAGGAGCTTTATGTGAGAGTCTATCCAGACAATAAAATGTTTGTGAATCATATGAGGAAAAAACCAAATTGCAAACTAAGAATGATGATCTGTTCTATAAACTGGGAATGTGAAAAGAAAAGCCGAGCTCTCAGAAAGCACAACAGAGTGACCTCAGAGTGTCACAACAAAGACTTACAGCAAAGGGCAGGGTCTCTGCACTCACTGGGTGAAGAGGGAGCCTCATTACCTCGGTATGACCACCCCAGCAGAAAAGCCAAGGGAGCAGGATTTTCTCTGTTATTGTCCCCTACCCTCCCAGGGGAGGACTAAAACAAAGGGAATGGAGGAAAAAGATGCTTTGCACAAGGTTGGAAGTTAAGACTGTAGCAAGTTTAACGAAAAAATAACAGGAGAAAGGAAAAGGGAATTAATAAGGGACAAAGGATATTTAAGTATATACAAAACCCGATCCCAGTAGTCCCAAGTGGAAGTGTCCGAGCAGTGCCCAATGGCTGCTGTGACCGCTGTGACTCATCACCAGGGACTGCAGTGGTGCTGGGAGCGGGTGGTGGTGGATGCTGCCGAGCACGTGGCGGTATGCCCAGTCATCCCGAGATACGACAGGAAGCAGCCCAGGAAATCAGGAAAAGCCCACAAAAACCTCAAGCCTCCTCAGTTTTGTATAGATTGTGGCCAGAAAGGGGAGGGAACAGCACTGATCTCTGACCCCCTCAGGGTCCTACAGACACCACCCGTCCTTCCCTTTCAGGCTGGTAACCCTTAAACCATAACAGCTAACTACAAAGTCTTACACCTAGCACTGCCTGCTTTCATCACTTCCCCTCCAGTCAGCAAAGAAAAAGAGTGTTTCTTCACACATAATCTTGTTGGCTCTGTTATGGAAGTGACACAAAAAAGAGGTCCCTCCTCATCCGCTACCATGGACATAAGCATAAAAACCTTAAAAGATGAGTCCAGGTTTTTGCTGCAGACACTCCTATACTGAAGATGATCAAGAACTTGAAGTTTAACTGAAAGTCATCCACCTGTAATAGATGAGAACAGAGACTCTTCTAGCTCCTGATACGAGCAGCCAAATGGAGGCACTCCAAAGCTGCATCAAGATGTTGGCAGTATACCTGGTCTCAAAAGACCAGATACTTGCCCTGACCCTGGAAGTGCTCAAGGCAAGATTGGATGAGATTTTGACCAGCCTGGTTTAGTGGGAGGTGCCCTGCCCATGGCAGGGGAGTTGGACCAGATGATCTTTAAGGTCCCTTCCAAACCAAAACATTCCCTGATTCAGAAGCTGCCCTCACATGTCACCTGCCTGCATAAAGGTAATTATGAAAGACAAAATTGGATGGCCCTAGATCTACAGAAATTCAAGGATGCCAATCCACTTACATTTCTCGAGGTTTACCAAGAGATCCCCTCAACAGACAGTGGAGGCTGAGTGAAACAAGAAGCAATCTGTATATCAGGGTGTGGTGTGCAGGTCCACGCTTCCTCTTTTTTAGCTGTACTAGGATACTAAAGATGATCATGAAAAGTCAACCATGTAACACAGTCTTCATGTCCAGAGCCTGTCAAGTATTCTTAGCATAGTGAAATGACTGAAGAGGAACAGAACCTCTACCAGGCCTTTCCCCCACAGTAAGAGGGGATGCTCGAGCCATTTTGAAGTACAAAGGCTCCCACTGAAGTGTTTTCATGAAGCACTGCATGTCGTACAGCAGATCTTCGATTAGAATCTAGGAGGATGAGAAAAACTATTTACACACATATCTTTCACAATACAGCCAGCATCCCACGAAAAAGGAGATGCTTTATTTTCTACCAACAAGTGCTCCAATTCAGAGAATTGGATTCTTACTTTTTGTGTAGGCTTCTGCACCAGTACAGCAATCCCCAGAACAGCAACACAACATCCTGAAGAAACATGTTCCCAGAACGATGAATGGCTTAGATCAAAGTGAAAAAAAATGGTTTGCAAAAGACATCCACTAGAAATAACATGCAATTGCTCTTCAACAAGGCAGAAACTTTTTTCCGTTTTTTGTTTTTTGTTTTTTTTTTTTTAAATTTTCCTCCTAGGATCATGAAGGATAAACACATATGGGACAACTCCATGTTAGGAGATCATCAGTTCTACTTTCATGTTTGAGTAAAATCAAGATGTTTGTCAAGATCAAGACAGGTACATTATCAGGATGCAGGAAGTTTACCAAAAAAAGTCACATACTGTACAAGTATACCTCTGCACTGGAATTACAACTTCAGAAGGAGCAAAAAAATTCATGTGGAAATGAGTTGTGCAGACAATTCTTTCTTCTTCCCTCCAATGGAGAATAAGCAGTTAGATGTAGCCTCTGCTTTCTCTCAAATTATGTGACAGGAACAAATACCCTGCTAACACAGCAAAGTTATTTTGCTTTTAACAAGCACATTCATCACGTATTATCAGACTTCATGTGAGAAACATTTTTTCCAAAACACATTTAGAAGCGGTAATCTCAAGATAACGGTTGTCTAAAATTACTGATTTAAAGAAAATATAAACAGCATAACATTTCTAATAATTTGTTCTTCACAGATTTGATAAGTTAAATGTCATTAAACAAAAACACAAGCAGAACTGTTTTTTAATGAAAAAGAACTATGTAAAAAACTTTTCTTGATCAAATTACACTTAAAAGTTACACTATTCTCTTGCTATAATTTGTAAATTCTATCTGCAACAGCACATAAGTACAACATGCCTATTCCAGGCATTCAAAGATCAATCTTTACTTCTTAAGTTGCATGAAAACTTTTAAAACCATCAAGTGAGAACTGTTTACTAGACAATAATTAAGGGGGTCTTGTTTTATCTCTTTCAGGAACAGTTTTAATACAGCATGACAACGCCCACAGTCATTACTTGACACTGTGCTCAGCACTACTTCACTATGAATTTTCCTTCCAGCTAGCGAAACTACTCCTAAAAAACACCTAGTGCCAAAGCTGTCAGCTGCAGAGCCAGGAGCACAACCCAGGCTTCTCCACTTCAAGTCAAGTTGCCCATCCACTGAAACATGTTGTACCAGGAAGCAAACACACAGATTTCCTCCATTTCTGTAGAACAGAAATTCTGCATCAAAACAGACCTTGTAATAGGAAAACAGGGGTCAACCCTCTCCCATTGTGTGAGTTTTAGCCATTTAAAAGACAGGGAAAAAATTTCAGGGTGGCTGAACTTGCATTATTTTCTAC